CGGGTCCAATTACATTTGATTGCATTCAGATACCTAGTTGCTCACATATATTATTTAAAAATCTATCACTTGCCACTTCCTTAGATCTTATAATCTCCTCTATCACACATGATGTTTCCCGTGGTGGAGATCTACTTATAGGTTCTCTGTTGTCTCCCACTGGTCTGTTGATCAGTCCCCTGTATCATTGCATAATGGCCATATTTTCCCTAATGTTGTGATATATCCTGATAATTTGCAGAGCCACTCACCATTCTTCAGGACTACCTTGACTACACCTGGACTTTTTTACTTCAATATACATTTTACAATAGTGTTATCACATTATACAAAAATCACTAGGGAAGGTGGTGCTATACTCCTTTCACTATGGGCATTAATTGGCGTAGAGTTGATATTTATGCAGTATTGTCTTCAAACCCATTAACATGGCCTCTTTTTCAGTTTATTTATATCTTTTTTTTTGAGTTGGAGTGTCACTCTTTGTTGCCCAGATTAGAGTGCAGTGGCATGCTCTTAGCCACCGCAGCCTTGGTCTGCAGGGCTCAGGCGATCCTTCCGCTTCAACTTTCCATGTAGCTGGAACTACAGACGCATGCCACTACATCCAGCTAGTTTTTGCAATTTATTGTAGAGACGAGGTCCCACCAAGTTCCTCAGGCTGGTCTCAAACCCTCGGGCTCAGGCAATCCTCTCAACTCAGCCTCTCACAGTGCTGGAATTACAGGCTCAACCACCACACCTGGCCTATTTACATCTTAAATGTCCTTCAATACAGATTTATAATTTCTTCCACAGAGGTGATACACATTATATCTGTTAAGCACACATCTACATAGTTAGGTATAGTCTATACGCACCATCATTTTTGAAGCTATTGTCAATGTCTTCTTTCATAAAATTTCACTTCTGTTTATTATTGTGATATGGAAATACAACTGATTTATAATTTGACTGATCTCTAGAAGCTTTGCTAACTTTTTTGTTAAGGCCCAAAATGTATCTGTATAGACATTTGCATTTTTCTCTCTATACAATCATATCATTTATAAGGAAAGGCATCTTCTTAATAATGTCTTTTGAATTCCTATATTTTTACTTATTTTTATTGCCTTACTATCCCAGAATCTGAAGATATTTCATTAGGTATGATGGCTGCTGAAGACACCCTTTAACTTGTAAGGAAATTCTTCTTATTTCTACTTGGCTGTGAGTTATGTTGTGAAGGAATTGGAAATGACCCATGCTCATGTTTTCATCTCTTGAGATTTAACCACCTAAGAGTCGTATGAAATCAGAATACGTATTGTGCATTTTAACAGAGGGATAATAACATAAAGATCTTGTTATTCATGCATCAAAAGTCTGATAGAACTCAATGGTAAGACTGCTTAGAAGTTTTGGACCCTTCTAAGTGCACAGCTTGAGATTCACTGGACCACCAAGTGATATGGATTTGTGCTGCACACCCTTGTGAAGCCTGGCTTGCATCTGCAACTGCTTTCCTTTATCAGTCCCTGCAAGGCAATCTTCCCTGAAATATGCATGAGTGGGGGATAAAGCTGGTGACCTCTTGTTTACCTGAACCCTGAAACAGAAGATTTATGGAGCCTGATATTTATACAAATGTTGAGGTTAGTTTTCTTAAAGAAAAAAAATGTGACACTTGTTATCATGGATTACTGAGAACTATTGAGATAGATGTCAAGGCTACTGCAATAAGGAAGAGACATCAGGCTCAAGTCTCAATATAGCAAAGACAAGCAGGGCTTTATAGCCAAGATGCACGGTGCAGTGGGGGATGGGATGGGGTGGGGGTGGGTGTCAGTGGATGGATAAGAGGAGCTATCTAAGATAGAGGGATTCTTGCTAAACCTACTTAACAGGATTCTTGCTGCAAGCAGGCCAGAGTGATCAGGTATCAAGGGCGAGGGCTGAAGAATTTGATCAGATATTGAAGGTGATCAGATATCAAGGGTGAGAGGTTTCTTGCAAAACTGACTTAGCAGGATTCTTTCTATAAGTGGACTAGGCAGCCCCAAGGATGGGGCTTAATTAAAAAAATAAAAAATAAAGGACTCAGAGGAACCTGTATGCTATTGTCAAGAAGAGAGTCTTTGTCACTCAAAACAAAAAAAAAATACAAAATTGGTGCACACATGATCATTTTTGGAATGAGAAAACACATCACATCAAATCACAAAAAGTACAATGCTTCAAAAAGCCAAAATATAACACAATTCAGAAAAATGACATGATTGTTTTATTAATAGTCGTTTTGGTGTCTGGTACACTTGCAACTTTTTCCTCCTTTTGACTGGTATTGTTGACTGCCTTTATATCAGAAAATAATTTTATAGGGTCCAGGTTTCATGTCCCCGTTTGGGCGCCACCTGTGGGAGTCCAGCTCCTGCCAGGTCCAGAGTACCCCGAAGGACGAATGAAGTTGGCATTGAAAAGAACACTTTTGGACAACTGTTCTGAGATCAGATGCCGTTTATTGCTAATTAACAGCGAGCTTATATTCCTTTTTACAAGGAAATAATTTCTGCAAGTCATTGTTACAAAACAATTTAAAATCATCATTACAAAGCAAATCACTTACAACAAATTACATGAATTTTTTGTGATGTTAAAACGATGCTTAAGGGGAAGTTTAAGTATTCTTCTCCATGCTTGGCTAATGTTCTCTCTAAGGGTGGAGACCATCTTCACCCCAAAACAACACCATTCCAACACAATGATGTTATCTTGAAGTAAAAATAGTACCCACAACTCATTAATATAGAACCTTAAAATTATAACCTTAAAAACTCTTATATAAAATCATAAAGCTTCTCATTGAGCAACTTTATTTAAAACAAAACTTATATTCCAAATTAACTATACATATTATAATCTTTCTAACAATTCTAATTATTTGTTAACTTAACTTCCTTATTCAAACTATCTAGGAAAACAAGTTTTTCCATAATAAAAGTCTCTGGGGACCAGAACAGCAGTTTCTAACCCAAGGCTTTGGAGCAGCTCATGTGTAGAATACTTCCATCTGCATGGAGGAATGTGCACCTGGAGACCCTCCCGAAGCCCCTTGCGCAGATGTTCCTTTTTTCATGGATGAGGAGTTTCTTTTTCAAGGCCCTCTGGTCTTTCAAACCCCGTGGTAGTTTCTTCTTGTTCGAATTTCTTCATTGTCTTCCTTATCTGGGACATCTTATTCCTAAGAAGAACAGTTTAGAAGAAACTTTTAGTGGTGTTATTCAGGCCTCAAAGTAGTTTCAGTTGTTAGATAAAACCTGTTTCACTTACTTAAATTCTACATCTAAACCCTTCAACTTCTTATATACTAAAACTTTGGTATGTATCCCAAACCCCTAAAAACAAACTTACAAATCACCTACATATATACCTTAATGTAAACTTTCACTACACTTATATCTTAGGCCTATGATTGTAAGCTTATACCTATAAAACCTTATATCTAAACACCATAACTACAACTACAAATAATTAGTAAAAATATTCAAAACAATTCTTTGCTTAAACAAAATCAGAAACCTCTTTCTACCTGGTATTAGTCACAAATCCTAACCCTAAAAACAAGATCTGTAACCCACGACCAAGCGAAAGAAAGCCCTTTAAACATGCCTCAGAGCCATCACATGGGCAAAAAGGGGCATGTCAAACAACGTAGTGGGAAGTGGAAAGATGGACAATGAGTTTTCAGTAGCTGAAAATACTTCTCATAAACAGGGTGTTTTCTTCTTTCACATCTGCACAGAATTCTTCGGGTGTATCAACAGCACAGGCGGAAGACAAAAGGGCCTCAGCTTCCCTCGCCCTGCAGTCCGGGATCTTCGGCCCACCAGGACCCTGTCAATTAGGTGGGCCTCCAAGGCTGGCTCCCAACATTATAGTATAATTTTTCTTGAAAGGATTGAATCAGAAGTCAGTATTTCTTCTGGCACAGTTGATTGAAAATTTTTTTTAATCACTGGTGGTTTATGAAACTTTCTCTTCTGTCACACCTCATTATCAGAAATAAGTATAATTATTGGAGATTATCAGAAATAAGTATAATTATTGGAGATATCTAAAATTTTCCAAGATGATGGTTAAATTTGGTAAATTAGTAAATAATTAATTAAAATGGTGATTAGTATAACTTTTACTAAGTTTCTTTCATAAAACAAGCAGTAACAATTCAGGTGATTTCCACACATTTCTTGGGTTTCTGTCAGGGATCTCAGAAGGGACCCCACAAGAGAGAGCCCTAAAAGCTGAGTGTCATTAGCTCCGTGGTACAAATTTGCTTCTGTAACCTTTAGGGTAGTCCATTCGGTGGGGTAAGGCATTCCCTTTAGACATCCCAATTAGAGGGGGCCCATGGTTCATTCCTGTCCCACAAGACCTTCAGGTCCATGAAGACATAAACTAGACCATATCATATCCCCCAAATCCTCTTAGGGCAAAGTTGCTTCCCCTCTTTCCTGAGTACTCACCCTCTACCAAATTTGGGTTTGAAAATTCCTTTCTTTCTCCCCAGGACTTGAATGATCTAAAGGAAATTAAAAATTATGTTTTTCCAGAACATTCAGTGGTTTCCAGCATAACATGATTCTCACCCCGTCGCCATGATGGGCCCTGGTTTCTCTTTTCTGTCTTGGCATTCACTCTCTTGAGGGATCTCGCTCTTGACTGAAACATCATTTGAGGAGTGTTCACTTCCAGTTTCCCACCTAGACAAGCCTCTCACCTTCTGGGGTTTCAGTATCTTCACCTGTGGCATCCAGTGGGGGTAGGAGGACAGGATGACTTCCCAGACCCACCTGACCTCACAAAAGCTTGTGGTGTCCAAGTTCCCTTTTCGTGGATGGCCGCAGCTCTTGCTCACCCACCGGCTTCCTGTCAGGGCTTTTGTAGCCCCACCTCACATTTAGGGCATTTCCTTCTCTGACAGAGGAACCCAGACCTGGGTTCTGGCCCTGGCTCATGCAGACATGCTGTCCCTGTTGCTGCTGCCCCTGCTGTGGAGGGGTGAGTAGGCTAAGGAAGGAGGGACAGGCAGCGTGGGGGGCAGGGGGTTAGTGGTGGTGGCTGGATCCGCAGCTTAGACTCTGTGTCCCTCCAGGGTCCCTGCAAGAAACTCCAGGGTACAGGCTGGAAGTGCCCAAGTCGGTGACGGTGCAGGAGGGCCTGTGCGTCTTTGTGCCCTGCTCCTTCTTCTACCCCCAGAAGTACCGGCATTCTTATGGCCAACTCTATGGCTACTGGTTCCTGGATGGGGAGAACTCATACTATCGTGCTGCTGTGGCCACAAAACAACCCAGACAAAGCAGTGAAGACAGAGACCCGGGGCCGATTCCGCCTCCTTGGGGACATAGGGACCAATAACTGCTCCCTGGGCATCAAAAACGCCAGGATGACAGACTCAGGAAGCTACTACTTTCAAATGGAAAAAGGACAGAATTTCCAATATAAAGATAATAAATTGAATTTGCAGGTGACAGGTATGGCAGGGGCCCCAGCAGAGGACCCTGGGATGTGGAGACCCCATATTAGAACTGAGACAGGACATTAGAACATTCCCTGCTCCAGATCTTGGGTCAAGGGTGGTCAGAAGAGATGCAGCTCTTGGGCCAGCTCAGGACCTGAGGCCTTGGTCACTTTCAGGGTCCCACTGTGCATTTCTCACCCTGGGGGTCCAGGCATCTCCCTGTCTCCTCCTCAGCCCTGACAGAGAAACCTGACATTCAATTCCCGGAGCCTCTGGAGTCCAGCCGCCCCACAGAGCTGAGCTGTAGCTTGGCAGGATCCTGCAAAGGGGGTCAACCTCTCACCTTCTCCTGGACGGGACAGGCCCTTGACTCCCTAGATGCCGAGATCCTCCACTCCTCAGTGCTCACCCTCATCCCGCGGCCCCAGGACCACAATACCAACCTCACCTGTCAGGTGAAACTCCAAGGAGCTCAGGTGACCACGGAGAGAACTGTCCTGCTCAATGTCTCCTGTGAGTAGTGGAAGGGATGACTGGATATCTGAGGGCAGTGGGAGTGAGGTGTGTGTGTGTGTGTGTGTGTGTGTGTGTGTGTGTGTGTGTGTGTGTGTGTGTGTGTGTTAGAAGAGAAAGAGAAGGATAACCTGAGATCACTCATGGGTGGATTTGAACCT